GCCTGGATCATGGTCGAACGTTTGGTATTTGAATATTTCAAAAATTCGAATTTCTCCTTTGATGTTTTCCGTGCCGACAAGGTTGTTTTCGAGTTTAGCTGGATTTGACTTCGCGCATGCGCTACGCTAGAACCAAAGGTACCATGAGTACTAAATTCCGGCGAGCAACTTTTCACGTTGGTACCTAGGTACCCTAAAAAATTTCAAGGTGATACCTGCATTCGTTCAAGTCGTTTGTTCTTGTCACCTGCCTTTCGTCGTTTTTTTTCTAAGTCAATTTACGGCTTCCATGAGGGGAAAAAGTGGAATTTCGCCGTGACACCGGCACCGATTGTCCGAAAACCATGAAATTTGGACACAATACGCCCATTACCACCCCGGACTCTGTGCCTTACCCCCATTTCGATCCCATTAAAAAAAAAGAGTTTTAGCAAAAAAACGATTTTCGGAATTTAATATTGGTTTTAACCCTGTACCCAGACAAGATATACATATTATTATAATCCCTATGAAATATTTTAATTATTTACTGCTATAATATGAATTATCACTTATTCCCCGTTAAATAAATATCGGTCACCGGGTGCAGCTGTACAACTTCAAGGACCCTGGCTTCAAGTCAATTTACGGCTTCCATGAGGGGAAAAAAGTGGAATTTCGCCGTGACACCGGCACCGATTGTCCGAAAACCATGAAATTTGGACACAATACGCCCATTACCACCCCGGACTCTGTGCCTTACTCCCATTTTGATCCGATTAAAAAAAAAGAGTTTTAGCAAAAAACGATTTTCGGAATTTAATATTGGTTTTAACCCTGTACCCAGACAAGATATACATATTATTATAATCCCTATGAAATATTTTAATTATTTACTGCTATAATATGAATTATCACTTATTCCCCGTTAAATAAATATCGGTCACCGGGTGCAGCTGTACAACTTCAAGGACCCTGGCTTCAAGTCAATTTACGGCTTCCATGAGGGGAAAAAAGTGGAATCTCGCCGTGACACCGGCACCGATTGTCCGAAAACCATGAAATTTGGACACAATACGCCCATTACCACCCCGGACTCTGTGCCTTACTCCCATTTTGATCCGATTAAAAAAAAAGAGTTTTAGCAAAAAAACGATTTTCGGAATTTAATATTGGTTTTAACCCTGTACCCAGACAAGATATACATATTATTATAATCCCTATGAAATATTTTAATTATTTACTGCTATTATATGAATTATCACTTATTCCCCGTTAAATAAATATCGGTCACCGGGTGCAGCTGTACAACTTCAAGGACCCTGTCTTCAAGTCAATTTACGGCTTCCATGAGGGGAAAAAAGTGGAATTTCGCTGTGACACCGGCACCGATTGTCCGAAAACCATGAAATTTGGACACAATACGCCCATTACCACCCCGGACTCTGTGCCTTACTCCCATTTTGATCCGATTAAAAAAAAAGAGTTTTAGCAAAAAAACAATTTTCGGAATTTAATATTGGTTTTAATTAATTTTGAAATTGCAAATGCAAAGAGATTTTATCGCCTCTTCCTTATGTGATAGGTATTGGTACTATACACATTATCCTTAAAAGACAATTTTTTAAAATGACCATAACGATGTATCAACACTAGAAACCGAAATCGCCTATTTTGACCTTTTTTGACTGCTGAGGCATCCTTCCGGTGGTCCAAATCTCTGGAATTTCTAGCGGTTGGCTGCGCCGCGATGATATTTATCACATATTAAATTGAGAAAATCCTCAGATATCAAGAACAATAAAAATTCGATAAAATACTGCAATTTTTTAAGCAAAAAACCTTTGATTGTTGGGGGTGGGTTTTGAATTTATTTTGAACTTTCTCGGAATCCAACACTCTTCTATTTTTAATATGTGATAGCTAGAATCCCATCGGAATCCAACACTCTTCTATTTTTAATATGTGATAGCTAGAATCCCAAGGTACATTCTGTGCAAATTTGAAGGCAATCGGAGCACAGGAACGTTGCCTGGGTAGAGCAAAACAACCCGGTCGCGAAAATTTACCTATACTTCAAAGTGATTATCATGTTGTGTTATGATCGCCATTTTAGATCAATCTGAGTCCCTGATCCACCGTCATCTACCAAACCACTCCGAAATATAGCCAAAATCCCAAAATCGACCGTAATTTCTTTTTGCTTCGCGCATGTGCCACGCTGGAACCAAAGGTACGTTGACTACCAAATTCCGGCGAGGAACTTTTCACGTTGGTACCTAGGTGCACTGAAAACTTCAAGGCGATACCTGCATTCGTTCAGATCGTTTGTTCTTGACACGGTTCCTGCCGTTCGTTTTTTTCCGCCATTTACGGCTTCTGTAAGGGCGAAAAAAGTGGAATTTCGCCACGAAACCGGCACCGATTGTCCCAAAACCATGAAATTTGGACACAATATGCCAATTACCACTCTGTGACTTACTCCCATTTTGATCAGATTAAAAAAAGGAGTTTCAGCAAAAAATAAACAACCGATTTTCGGAATTTAAATTTGGTTTTAATTAATTTTGAAATTCCAAATGCAAAGGGATCTTATCGCCTCTTCCGTATGTGATTGCTATTAGTACTATACACATTATCCGTAAAAGACATTTTTTTTTAAAATGAGCGCAACACCAAAAACCGAAATCGACTATTTTGTCTTTATCATACATTAAATATTATATGCCATCGGTTAATTTTTATACGCCCACATTGAAATTGAATTTCAGCGATTTCCGATAATTACTGTCAGAGTTATGGCCCTTCATCACTTAAAAAAATTCTTGTGGATGCTCTAGAGGCCAAAGTTAATGTCCGATTGACTTTAAATTTATACACAGTGGTTAAGGTCATGAGACGAAGTAGGCGATTGATTTTCAGCGATATCTGATATTTACTGCCAGAGTTGTGGCCCCTGATCACTTCAAAATATCTTGTGGACGCTCTAGAGGCCAAAGTTAATATCCGATTGACTTTAAATTTATGCGCAGTGTTGTGGCCCCTTATCACTTCAAAATATCTTGTGGACGCTCTAGAGGCCAAAGTTAATATCCGATTGACTCTAAATTTATGGTCATGACACGAAGATGCCTACAGTATTGATTTTCAGCGATATCTGATATTTACTGCCATTTCCGATAATTACCGTGAGAGTTATTGCCCTTGATCACTTTAAAAAATCTTGTGGACGCTCTAGAAGCTAAATTCAATATCCGATTGACCTTAAATTTATACAGTGTTTAAGGTCATGAGATGAAGAAGCCAATTGATTTTCAGCGATTTCCGATTGAATCTTTTGAAAATCACACCTAACTCTAAAACTAAAGGCAAGAAACGGGCCGGTTTACATTGAAGCACAACTAATTCCTGTCCTGCGTACTCTATAAATGTAATATACGGTTTTCTAAATATGCCTTGGATGGTAGCCACAAGTCGACAATTTTTGTTTTGTATTTTTCCCATTTTGTTCATAAGGTAAATGTAATTTTTCAGATACCTGATGACATTTATACTTATTGTTTCAATAGATTCTAATAACCCCCTTTGCAGTTAATATGAAAGCTTTCATATCTGCTATGCAGATCTAGTTAAGCTTTCATATTACATATGAAAGCTTATTGTTTCTGTTAAGATTATTAAGCTTTCATATTACATATGAAAGCTTATTGTTTCTGTTAAGATTATTATTGTTATTTTTTTTTTGTGTTTTGTCCACAAATCGGATTTCTCAGAATCTAACCATAGGATCGTTCTGAAACTTTTACCTATCCCCTCAAAAATGGGTGGTGGCTGTTGATTAAATATATTTTCAAAACGTTTTACGAATCCGAAATCACCGAATTTTACGAAGGAATGCATTTGACCTACAATGCTGTAACTTTGTGACTATTTGACCTATTTTACTAATTCTTTTTTCTTTGAGTATCTTGAAACATTTACTTCAAATCTGCAATTTCGGATTTTGGCATTTCGAAAATTCGTCGCTGTCATTTCGAACCGGAAGTTATTACCAATTTGACAACTTCTTTAATAGTTGTGCGATTTTCGTGAAATTTAGAATGTTAGTAGATCTTGCCAATGCGACTTGAATGATGTCCTTGGAAATTTTCTAAATTATCTCCCCTTGGTGAAATTAAGGATCAAAGTTTTCAAAAAAATCGTCGAAATATAGGTCAGAATGACCTAAAAAAAAAATTTGATACTAGACAAGTAATTACTGATTCATACACAAAATATGGAGTTTGTCGATCGAAACGGAAGTGCCACCATCTTTAAACGTGAAAAATCAAAAAGGCTTTTTTGCTATTTTACTTACAGACTCGGACGTCATATTTTCGGAATCCTGGAAGGAATGCCTAAAAATCTATCGGATCAGAATTTTGATTTCGGTCACGTGATGGTCACCATTTTGAATTGAAAATGAAAAATAGAAGCAATTTGAAGGGCCGGGACTTTGGAACACAAGAACTCTCCTTCTAATTAAGCTGGAATGTGCAAACTTGGTGTAGGCGTTCACTAGGTCAATGTCTTGATTGAGTTCAAAGATGAGCATTTTTTGCCTAGGGTAAGCAGAGATAAGCAAGCTGATTTGTTGATTCTTTAGGGCACGATGACATTGGTTATAATGAATGGAGGGCGATGAAACTCTTGTCAATCGAGAGGCTAATAGCTGGCCTGTTGTGTGAAATCATTGTATCATTTTTTGAAAATGTCCGGGGTAGCCGAAAAAAGGAGATCGAAATCCAAAAAGTCGTATTTTTACGATTTGGGGCATTTTTAGAGGTCGTGTAAAGTAAAATAAAGCATGCATATACATATATTATTGATATTAAATATATCATATAAAAAACTAAACAATGAATCAGCTGTCATTGACAGATTTTATATTATAAGCATGGTCAGTGGAAGGTCAGCGTATTGTCTAACTTGAACTCACTGACTCCGTAACATTATTGTGGGTATGGTATAAGCTGAATTTGATGAGATGCACATATCTCGTATGACTATTTGGTACTTACAGTGTTAGACTTTGTCGTAACGTAAATCAAATTTACGCTGTATTATTCATTACCAAGGATTTAGAAAGGAACGAGAACAATTATTTACAAAATCTCGCTGGGATAAATTCTGTGAATGTGCCCATGAATGGCTAAAACTTGATGGGCGAGCGAAATGGATAGTTGAACAGGCGACTTCGGGTGATATAATCAAACAAGGAATTTATCGACGCGCCAAAAGATACTGGATTTCACCCAACATGCTACAGGCCTTTTACAGACAAATTCCGAATTGGGTCTGCCCGTAATCGTATATATAAAGAAAAATTAAAATCCCCGGCTACAATCCAACCAGGGAATAGCGGGAGTGTAGACGATCTGGGACCTAGCTCTCCAAACAAATTACGCTCCTGAAGCAAAAAGAAAGAGTAAATCGGTGCTGCCTGTTGTGTGTATTATATGTAAAAAACGTGACAGATTTGTCACTGTTGGAGATAATAGGAAGAAGGATGTATTAACACAGACTCAGACCCAAACAGGCTCAGGTAGGCCTAATGTTAATATTATGTTACTTACTAAATTTATAATTATTACTAATAAATATTAAATATATTCATCCTACAGTTTTTAATTATTGTGTTGTTGTTTTTGTTGTAAATGGAATCAGAAGTGCTACTGCAATCACTGTAAAATTGTTATGAAGCTAGCCAGTAAAGCCCTTTACCCCATTTGTTGATTTGGCACAGTCATTGGTTAAAGTGTTGCACATTTGCTTGCACAAGGGATGAAACATAGAGAAGTTAACTTGTTTTTTATTTTCTTGGCCCACTTGTAGGTGCCTTGCTAAGACGATCTGTCTCTAGACCATTTCCGCTCACACAAAGGATCTGAACTAAACCGCATGCCAGAGTTGACCAGCCAGGTACATGTACATGTAGGCGTCAAAGTGACATTCCCTCCCCCACCCTTGAGCACAAACAACATTCAACGCTATATGGTGTATAATTTGTTTGCAAATTTGTTTGTAGGCCAACTGTTGAAAGCTGCTGAATTGAAAGAGGATGAAGATATTTTAAGGCATATCAGAGGGCAAGATTGTGTGGCCATTGAGGTCAGATATCACCAAAAATGTTATAGGCAATATACATGTACTGAATTTCTTAGACAGTTATCAGAAAGGTAAATATTTGTGATGTTTTTTTTATTTGTATTCTCCGCCTTCTTGCCACTGGTATTATTCAAATAAAACTGAACCATGGGTGAGTCCTGAAATTACTATGTTTTTGTCCAGTGGACGTTAAACCGCAATTCTCCTCTCTATCTCTCCTTGTACTGCTAATGCCTTCCTGTCTTCATTAGCTGGTTTCTGCATGAAAATAAGATGTTAACCCCTGTGTAAGTGTCTTTTTCCTCTGTTGTACGAAATTAATGAGAGTAAACCAAGCTCCAGAATTTTGTTTTAATTGTGTACATGTATATGTTTATTTATATTTTTCAGCAAAGATGACTAGCCCTCCGTCGAATATTAAACCACATACAATATATTCTGTGAAGATGTCATAAGAGAAAGAATCATAAATGGCCAGCAAAGTTGTCTTGTACAGAGGGAGAGAGAGAGAAATGGGGTTTAACGTCCACTCAACACAAGATGGCCGACAGAAGTTAGACGTGTACCTGGTCATAGCAAGTTATTATAAATCATGAGTGGTATACTTTAAATTATGGTTCTAAAAACTGCATAGCTTAGATAAGTATGAAGACGAAGTGTTCTGTGAAATTAGATTAACATTATGTAGAGCCGATTTTAAAATATTTGATGTTTACAAGTGTAGATATTTTCCTCGGTTGACATATACTCAGTTGTGTGAGATTGTTGTGAGTAGATTTTGTAACAGCCAGATTCGTTCAACCTTACACTAAAACACCAAACATGCCTAAAGTGAAAGAACCGGTTGTATCCAAACTTAGAGGTCGGTCTGTATCCATAAAACGTAAACGCGGAAATCATGATTCGAGTGCCAGTTCCCATAGCATTTCTGAGTTTTTAGATGATGTTCTTTCGAATGAATCATCCTTAAAGTCATTCGTTGGAGAATTATTCAAACGAGATTTGATCATGGACCACATTATAAAAATAATTCATCCAACATTAACAGACCCTCTACGCAATCGTATAGATGATTTAGAGAACCGAGTTGATGACTTAGAACAGTATTCTAGGCGAACATGCCTAAAATTTAGTGGCATCCCCGAAACACCTGAAGAAAACACTGATAATATAGTTTTAAATATTATTAACAATGACATACTTCCTGAAAAACAGGCTAAACTCACACTAAGTCAAATTGGCCGAACTCACCGGGTTGGAGCCAAACGCAGAGAAAAGGGCCGTGATATAATAGTACGTTTCAATAGTTATAGAGACAGGGCAAAGATATATGGTTCTAAACGCAACTTAAAACAGAAAACCTCACCCAGATTCACAAGATCTTTATCAATGAAGCCCTCACTCGTAAACGCGCTGCACTCTACAAAAGATGTCGTGATATGTTTAAATCAAAGCTAATTAAAAACTGTTGGACGTATGATGGTCGAGTTTACATACGACCTCTAGCAGACGACGGAAATATTGTCATAACCTGTGAGCAGGACTTCGATAACTTTCATACATCAACAAACAGAGTAAATTCACAAGCTAATAAGTCTTTGTTTAACTACAACGAAGCTACTTTATCACATTCTGCAATCAACACATCTTCCGACTGTATAGACGATGATAACAGAGTTGGGCCATTAAAACAACAATCCTTACGAGATTTTGGCGGGTTTGCCTCGACCCCACAGCCTGATAAAAAGAAATAATGATGCCTGACAGTATCTTTATATTTTTGAACCAATTTCATTCATCAATATCATTCCCAAACTACTGTACCTTATTGTGTACTGATTTTTCCTGTTTTTCTTAATGTCTACAAATGCATAAATATATATACGTATTTAATTATATTTAAACATCCATTGCAAGAGCTGAATCTGCGTATTGCAGGTCTTTTTTAGGCCTGAAATTATTAATTAAGACATTAATTAAAACTTATTCAGACCATAATCAACTCTCGATGTCATCGCTAGCCTGCGATATTTACTGGAGTAGGATCCGATTTGCTGCTCAGCTTTCATTCATGATTTAATCATGAAATGGATAATCGAATTCCATTTACATTATCTAGTTTTTAACTATTATAGTGAGATATGCCAGCTCTTTATCTAATCGCCCATAATGTATCTTTAAGTTGATGACCAACTGGATAGTACCTCAAATCGTTTCATGCATTCACCATTGCCCCAATTATCCTTCATGTAATAATAAGTTTGCTTAGATTTTTAAAACAATGACAAAATCTTTCTGTAAAGTAAAGTCATGTACATGTATTTTACTTGTTGGTTCCCTATTGTCTAACTATTACAGAGTAATATTAGCTTAGACCACTGTTTAGTTTATAATACATAGTTACATGTAGTTATACATTTATATTATTATATAACTAATTATGATAATAAAAAAAAATCGAATGTATAAAACTATGCCCACATTATTTATGGGCGTATCTTTTAAAAGTTCTCAATTATCTACTTAAAAGTTCCATTCAAATATTAACTAATTGGGTTATCATCTCAGTTTAAACTTTTGATTTCGTTTTTTATTCCATTTAAATTACTGAAATATAAACAGCCAATTATCTAAATAATTGTCAATTATGGGAACTCAGTCTTGCATCAAAATTGCATATCGGATTGTTAAACTGACCACCCTCTAAGTATTATCACTTTAACCTTCATCTTCATTTTTTGTCAAAATTGCCTGCTTTAGATATCATCGTACGATATTGTTATATTAACTTAACTATGACCGAAACATTCAATGTTTATGTATTATACTATTGCTTTAACTGTAAATAATTCACTGTTTTTGTCTGTATGTATGTTTTATTTGTTTACTAGTTATTTACATCATGTTCTCATGTCTCTATATCCACCAAAACTAACCACTAAATATTTAAGATCTAACTGTTTGATGATTTCTCAGTCCCCTCGTGCAATACTGGCGCAAGTGCAACACTCATTATATTTTCATTGCTACTGTAATAGTTGACATTTACTACACAGTAAAGCACGAGGCATCTGAGAAATGGCAATGTCGAATAATATCTCCAATAGTTTTATGTGAACTTGATAATTTTTGTCTGCTAAGTACTGTTTTAGCCTTATTAGTTCTAAGATCAGGAGACGTTCATAAAAATCCTGGACCTTCAAATCACGATTCAAATGAAAACCTATCAGTCTATCACTTAAATGCACGTAGTATAAGACACAAACTTGAAACAATATACAACGATGTCAATGATTACCATATTTGTAGTTTCACTGAGACTCATCTGGATAACTATGTGTTAGATTCATCTCTAAAATGGGACGGTTACCATTCTCCATACCGGAAGGATCGGACGTCGCATGGTGGCGGATTATTATTATATGTTAATAAAACCATTTATTGCAAACGGCGAGATGATCTTGAGGTTACAGGTATAGAGAGTATTTGGGTGGAATGCAAATTTCCAAACACCGTATTACTTGTTGCCTTATTTTACCGCCCGCCAAACAGCACAATTGAATTCTGGTCATTGTTCGAAAGATCCATTGAACTAGCCTATCAAACCACGCTTAAGGTTGTAATTTTAGGTGATCTAAATGATGACTTGCTAGCACAACGCTGCAAGCTACGGGATATTTTATCTTTAAATAATCTCAGAAATGTTATTGATGAACCTACACGCGTTACTGGGACGTCATCAACCTTATTAGACGTAATTTTAGTAAATAATGAAATTCAGATTAGTTCCAGTGAAACGATTAATGTCACTCCTGACATATCCGATCATAAGGGTGTTTATGCATTATTAGATTTTCCAGTTTCAAGTCCCAGGAATTTTAAACGGGAGATATTTGTATATAAGGATGGTAATTATAATAGGTTAAATACTCTTATCAAAGAACACGATTGGGAGAGTACCTTTGCAAATTCTGATATTAACTTAGTATGTTCAAAATTTTATGAAATTTTAAATAGCTATATTACATTGTGCATACCAAAGAAATCAATAACTATAAGACTAACTGACAAACCGTGGTTCAATACAGAAATACGTAGAGCGATAAGAATCAGAAACAGGTTACACAAAAAAGCTTTGAAAACACAACATGAATGCGATTTAAGAAAATACAAAGTTCAAAGAAATAAAGTAAATAATTTTAAAAAAGCGTTAAAAACAAAATACAAAGAAGAAATCACAAATTTCTTGAATTCTAACGATACAAATAGCCAGAATTACTGGAATAATTTAAGGAAAGTATTAGGCCAAAATGTATCAAATGATATTCCTCCACTTTTAGACCCCAATGGAAGAATTGCTCATTCAAATTTTGATAAAGCTGAATTACTTAACAACTATTTCGGATCAATTTCAAATAACACTCAGCAAGGAGAATTACCAAAATTCAATAAGCGAACAAATTGTCAACTTGATATTCCTTTAGTCGAAGAAAAGGAAATCGCAGATCTTATAAGTACACTGAAATTGAAAAAAGCCAATGGATTTGATAATATTAGTAACAAGTTACTAAAATATACCAAAACCTCAATATGTGTACCATTAAAATATATATTTAACAAATCACTAGAATCAGGCGTTTTTCCAACAATTTGGAAAAAAGCAAATGTCCTACCTTTCTATAAAAAAGGAGACAGCTCTCTAGTTTCAAACTACCGACCTATAAGCCTATTAAGTTCTTTGAGCAAATTATTAGAAAAGGTAGTTTTCAAACACCTGTTTAACTATTTTCATGAAAACAATCTCTTGTACAAATACCAATCAGGGTTTCGACCGAACTACTCTACTGTTCATCAACTTTTAGAAGTGTATCATGATATCTCATCTGCAATAGATAAGCAACTATATTCCTGCTATGTTTTTTGCGATATATCTAAAGCGTTTGACCGCGTATATTTACCTGGTTTGATACACAAATTAAGTCAATATGGGGTTTCAGGCATGCTAATTACGTGGTTGTCTAGTTATGTCCAAGACCGGACTCAACGGGTATTCGTAAATGGCTCTGTGTCATCAGAAATTACTCTTCAATCAGGAGTTCCCCAGGGATCAGTTTTGGGCCCCTTTTTGTTTTTGACTTACATCAATGATGTACAAGATGTACTCCATAATGTGGCTAGATTATTTGCAGACGACACGGCACTTGGGTGTAGCAAACAGTCAGTTTCAGAGATAGAACAGTCCCTAAACTACGATCTGACAAATCTCAACATTTGGGCGAATAATTGGCTTATAAACTTTAATCCAAACAAAACAAAAGCTATTTTATTTAGCTCCAAAAAAACAGAAAATTATCCGAGTCTGATATTCGATAATCAAGCACTTGAAGTGGTTAAATGTCACAAACACTTGGGCATTACCCTTTCAAATGACGCCAAATGGACCATCCATATAGAAACTATTATCTCGTCCACCTCAAAATTATTAAATATTTTGCGTAAACTAA